CTGTCTACGTCCTGGTCGTCTTGTGAAAGCCAACCTCGTCAAGAGGTGCAATTTGATGTATAGCTTGTTGGGCCAGGTAAGTTTGCTCCTCGCAAAGATGCCGTTGACCTGTTACTATTACGCTAGATAGGATTAACCCTTCCGGCCGCCGCCGCCGTCGCCGCCGCCACCATCACAGAGCCGCGTGTATACACGTGTATACGTAGATACACGTATGTAACGTGTATACCGTGCCAGCGCTACTGGAAGCGTGCACGGTACGCTCGTTAGTGGCCTCCGAGTCGAAACCCCTGAAATTTCCATATTCGTAGTTGCGCACGACGAGACCTGGCGGCCGGGATTTTTAACGCTTCATCTGTTTGTACCTCAAACTCGACTGCGAGACAGTTTCGTTCCGCACACGGTTGGCGATAACGCAATCGAGTTATCTGATGTGTCGTGCAAATCACTGAAATTACTCTTTAGAAGAGCCTGTTTAGAAGGCTACTCGCACGTTATCATTAGCGACGGGCATTTAACTCTAAACTTTCACTTAATTTTTTATTCCGTAAAATCTGGTTACGATCTCATGGAATTGGAGACTATATGATGACAGATCGAAAAGGAGGCTATATGATGATTATATACCTATAATAAGCATTTAAATAACTTTTCATAACTAATCAAAAAATTTCTATTAGATGTGATAATGTTTTTTTGCAAATACGTAATTTTTAAGTACGATTAACATTATTTTTATATCTCTTGTCCAATAAGAAATAATAGGATGAAAAGATATGTATAAACCGCGTTTATAACGCGAGTCATACACGGCATAATCACCAGATGGATGCGACAGACTTATTTCTCGTAAATAAAAAACTATACCATAAGATAAAAGGCATAACATTATGAAAGTTTATCCGATATCTACAGATGTGTTTTAAACATATTTAATTAGACGTCTTTTTAATCAATCATTTTTCACTGGATAAGATTTTTTTTTGCAAACTAATCTAATTATTAAACAATAAGATATTATTGGACCGTAGCGTAGGTAGAGATGTGTGAAAACTCGACCAATAGAAAATAGGAAATAAGAGCTCATAACGGTTGAATTATTCAAGTATTAAAGATCTAGCTTCGACCGTTATGGGCCTTTATTTCCTATTTCCTATTCGTTGAGTCTTCTCTAATTATTCTCAGACATATCGAGCCCTTAATCTCATTAGCAAAGTCGAAAGGGGGATCTGAAGGGATGTACTCTTATGCTATATTGGTCAATAGCAATTAAGTAGCTATGTACCCATGTCAATTTGGTTCGGACTAACTATCACGTAATTCCATCATGTTCATGACGTCGTCTCGAAATTACGTTCTGCAAGGCTGCATCCTTGTATACCATTGAGCAGCACCGTAGCCATGATTGTCGATGCTCCCGCTAATGTCTTTCCTCCCTTGCCGAGCATCAAGTAACTTCGTTATATTTGCGATATCGACACCTCGATATGTCATATCACCACCGGAATTACAGTCCGACGATTCGCGCGAGCCTCATCTACCAAGCGACGTACCCATTAGCAACGTACCGAGATTGTTTGATTTAATGCTAACGTCATCCGCCACGATATGGGGGAAAAAATCGAGTTTTATATCGCGACACATAATGATAAAATCCCGCGAGGGCCGATAATCGACTACGCTTCTTGGCGTACCCTCGTAGTGATAACCACGAAATTAGGATCTGGAGAACCGCCATCCATGTCCATTATCAACGGCAACCGGTAACTAAGCGCGATGGTTAATGCTCCGTCCGTTTGTGTGGCGGCGAGTATCGAGTAATTTCATTAGCGCCGTGCACGACGTCGGACACCTCGACGCGACGCGTTCCGCGCGGATTAACGCGGCGGAGTGCGGACCCTATGGTGCGGCGTGAAGGGACCGCCGTGATTCCCCGTCGTCCGCTGTCGGCGTTGACTAGCGATGCGGCTAGTCACGGGGGCGCGATAGATAGACCGCGACAATAGTATCGGACCAACAGTGGGCGTCTATCTCCTGTCGCATCGCTAGCCCCGTCGTTAGTCTCTCTCGGTGCTCGCTCGCGCTCGCGCTCGCGTCCTTAATCTGATCCGCGTGCCCTGCGGTTAGGAAGCAGCAACTGCAGGGGGGAGGAGGAAACAAATGACTCGATTCTCGACATACATCCGTCTTGCATACGCCGATCCAGGTCATCCGCATTGCCCGGTCCATCTCGCTCTTAGACCTTTCGTTTCATTCCCGTTTATAAACACGAGCTTGTAAAAACGAAAGTCCGGGATCGGCTGCGGACGGAAGACGGAATGGGGCACACGTTTGCGGGTCTAGACGCGATGGCAAGAAGGCCGAGCGCTCTGCGAAAGAGACAGGACAGAGGGGATGTATCTGGGACGAGACGACGCGGGGGTGAGACGGTGGCGCGCGATAGATTACTACGCGATTCTGATTACTTCGGAGGGTGTTACTTCCATGTTGCCACGACGGATTTACGCGCGATACTACAGGGCTCAAGGGCTTCATGCTTCGGAAATAAAGACAAGAAGAAAAAAATACTGCTGTCCGGAGAAAGAAACGTGTCAGCGCATAATTTTCTTCTCTCTGCTTTTCTTTCCTCTATCCGGGGCAATTCCGGGAAGTTTTTCGAAACGTATACCGATTGTTGGACCTGCCTGAAATTAATTGACGCTCGAAATGAGAGAAATATGAGAAAATATGTGAATCAATTCGATTTTCGTTAAATTATAATCAAAAACGCAATTAAATTTGCAGATATATTGTAATAGAAGTTATAATTAAAAACAGACTAGCAATTATTATTATGATAATTTATATTATGAATGTTTTATCGTCACAATGGTAACTCTAATTAATTGCATTTCGCGCCGCCCCGTGCGCGTTTCGACATTTAAGAACATTCTCAGGCGGATCAATATTTTGACTGATCAATAACGGGGTCTCGGAAAAATGGCGGCGCGCCGCGGGCCCCGCGTACTATAAATCCGTCACGGGTTCCCAGTTGTACCCGACGTCCGCAAACACAACATTGCTTTTCGTGCACTCGCATATATCTGTTTTTTTTTCCTGCGTATCCGCCCTCGGAAGCGAAAAATGCGCGCTATTGATGCACCAGTGAAAGTTGCATGTACCTTTGATTTTTGGATATTAGGAATTCTCATTACGTACTCCTCGTATTTTACTTGCGTGCACAAACGCATGCCCACACCCGTGATATCTCGGCCTTCTTCTACGATTACATCCCTGCCGCTCTCATTCGGTTTACTACGCCTTCAGGTGCAACCTGACGCCGTACATGCTAGATGGAATTCGATATAAGCGTCGCTTGAACACGGAATCATTTAACATGAGCAGGAGGTAACTGAAACATTTCCAGCTCTTATTTCTCAAAGACCTAATCCTTTTACTTCTTGCTATAAAAGAAAAAAGAAAATTCTCTCTGCAGTCGCGCTGCATGAGACGCGAGACTCTCGACCTGTCTATAGCGTATTGTCTTTGGCGATACATCACTGCATAATGCACTTGGTACGAGGCAATCTCGGATGCTCACAGACAAGCTTTAGCATGTATTCATACACACGTATCTCTCTCTCTCTCTCTCTCTCTCTCACGCGTATTCGACTTTATACCGCATAACTTAAAGTTTTGAAGAAAAACGTTCTACATAACTCGGCGCACTTATATCGAATTCGCCCGAATGTAGACCGCATTACGTCACCATAGAAAGAGTTTAACCGAAGTTTAAGAGGTATCGAGGAAAAGCGTGAGTGGGGGATAAGGGGAAGAAGGTTAACTTTTCGGGCCCCATCCGCGCGCCACTAAAGTCGGAACGATACAAGGAGCCAGAGCCTGCCTATCGCTTGAACGAGAACCGAGTCGATATATCCTATCCGTTTCCCACGGCTAAAGGAATGCTTAAGTTTAAGTGCGGATGTGCTTTTATTCACTTGGCGTGGAGAGAGGCTTAGACTTAATAGAATACGGATACTTTCAGTCAAGTCATTCGATATCGTATCACAAGATACCGGAGGGTGTTTTCCTTCGAAAATATCGATAGCTTATGACAATCCAAGAGAAAACAGTATCGTGAATAAATGAACTCAAATGCGATACAATATTATGTAATACTATATTTTATAATATACAACAGTATATTTAAAAATATATAATTTTCTCTATAATAATATAATGTGTATATATGCATATGCACATAACATTAAAAGTAAAGGCGAGCTAGATAACTTAATTAATTAAAGACGATAACGATATTTAATAAACGCCGAGTTCGAATAATCGTTTCATAAATTTTAACGACGAATGTTATATGTATATCGTATATAATATTTTATATATAATACATAAAATACTTGTCGTTAAAATGTGTTGAAAGATTATTCAAACTTGATATATATTTCAATATCGTTAATTAATATTATTTAGTTCGTTGCTTTTTATTTGGTTCAACTTTCCAGCTATTTATGATTTGTTGAAGGAATAAAGTATCATTGCAAAACAAAATAACCGAAAATATAAAACGTCCGATATTAATTCGCAAAAATTCTTATCCGCATTAATAGTCCGTCTTGCGACGGTGCGTAGAGTGCAACTTCCGCACAGGCGCTCGCAGAAAATCTCTCTCGCTCTTTCCTTCCTTCCTTCCCCTTCTCTCTTTCCCTCTTTCCCTCTTTCTCTCTCTCGGATTCGTTCGGGCTAGTTCGTGCCGGGATACCCCTATTTCGGCCTCGTGCTCCAACATCGGGTACTCTCGGGCGCGTGTGCGAACCGAGAGAGAGAGAGAGAG